GTTCCTGATACGCTGGAAGGGATACGACCCCACTAAGGACAGTTGGGTTGCAGAAGCTGATATGGGCAACGCACGCCGTGCTCTCAAGGACTATCTTGTCAAGCAGGGTGTATCTCACGCCACCCAGCTTTGAGGGGGGGACGTGTGAGAGTACGACGGCTTATGCCAGCTATGCTTGCTTGCGTTTACTTTATCATGCTATTTCCTAGGCTAGGTGCTTTCCTATATTTTATTATAGTTATAGCACCGAGCTAGGTTGCGTGCACCGAATTTTGGCTTTTCGGTTGCCACCGAATTGCCTTCTACCGAATTCGGTAAGGATCCGTTCGGGACGCTACACGGCCCGCGGAACCTTCGCGTAACACCTGGTTACGGGGCCTTGTGTCGAGCCTATATATAGCCTCGTGTTGTACCCGGGTGAACATTCAATTCGACTCAATTCTCATTCTCTTTTCTGAACTCGATCCTAGATCCTCACAGGCCGGGGCCGCAGGTATGGCGACGGGACCGGGGTCGCAGGTGGGGCGACGAGGCCGGGGTCGCAGGCAGGGCGACGGGGCCGGGGCGCAGGTAGGGCGATGGGGCCGGGGCCGTAGGTAGGGCGACGGGGCCGGGGCGCAGGTAGGGCGATGGGGCCGGGGCCGGGGCCGTAGGTAGGGCGACGGGGTGCGACGCGTGGGTCCCCGTCGCCCGTCGCAGCGCCTCCCGGGGGCGATGCGCCGAGTGACGGGGCAGAAACCCGTCGCGCGCCTCGGGGCGCACGGCGGGCAGAAAACCGCCGCGCGCCTCGGGGCGCACGGCGGGCAGAAAACCGCCGCGCGCCTCTGGGCGCACGGCGGGCAGAGAACCGCCGCGCGCCTCGGGGCGCACGGCGGGAAGAAAAAACCTGCCGCACGCCATGGGGCGTGCGGCACAGAGAGTAGCAGTGGTAGTTGCAGCGGAAGCAACGAGGTGGTGAGCCCACCCACATGATCGATCCAAGGGGATCGACCTGCTCTGATAGCATGTGAAATTTAGAAGAGAGAAGAGGGCTGCACTAGCAAGAATGGGGATACAAATAGCAAACCCTAGAAGGGTTGTACTCGCTATAGAGCACCCCACTACAGGCTAGGGCATAAGATAACATTCTGACAAGATCGAGTTCCTGATACGCTGGAAAGACCGTACACCCACCGAAGACAATTGGGTTCCCCTGGACAGAATCGAAAACCACCCTGTCCTCACCGAATATCTGCGCAGCCGAAACTTCAGGGATGTCCACGCACTTTCGTAAGGAGGACCTCCTTAGGGGGGGGGGGGTAGTGTAAGGAAAATCACTTTTCCTTATTTCGCATCCCTGCTCAACGCATACAGCACTGTAGCACCACAGTCAGCACCGTTACCACTCGCGATCCTCGCATCGACAATCAGGCCGCCACTTTCGCACATCGCACCCCGACCTCACGGCTCGGCTGGTAACCCGCGCTCAGGGCCTCCGCTTCGACACTTTCCCAACCTCAGTCCCAGGCCCGTCGCGCGACAACCACAGTCCATTACCGTTACCACTGTAGTTTCGCTATATATTCTTCGCTCATGCCTTTGCTCATTGTATTCTTGCTTCGATAGTGCAATTCTCGTTCGTTCACTCAATTGCACTCGTAACACATTTCAACCTAGTCGAATATTTTTCGAGTCACCAAGGAGAATCGCGCGGAAGCGATACTCGGCCAACACACAGTGTGGAAGACACGTTCTGGGAGCTCATCCTGACTGGACGCGAAGCCAGTCAGGTCTTCGCGAGTCAAACGAAGCGAGAATGAAATCGAACTCGCTGCAAAAATGAAACTCAATACCGTTTTTATCAGAATTTCGAATTAATATTGTCTGTGCGCTTATAATTAGTAAAGATATTTCACGGGGGGTTGAGGACCGGCCATAAGCGCATGGCTCCAGATCAGGGCCTCAGATTCGTTTGAGGGTACCCTGTGGACTCAGGGCAGGTTTTAAGAATTCCTATGTTGTCCTGAACTGTCAGGATAGAGCAAGGGTGGGTATGCTGTAGGGTCAGTGCTACAAGTGACATTATCCTGCCAAGTCAGTGCTACTTTTCACTTTATCCTGTGCACTTTGTTAGAAGCTTAGTTTCCCTTGTAATCACATCACACACACACAGACCAATCAGTCAGGCAGAGCAGGGCACAGTAATAATGACTTAAGAGCCCTTATGAAAGTTCTCATTGTTATGGTAAATATTGAACATGCACTTCAGTACCCCTCATCATCATCCTCTGCCTCCACCTGATCATCTTCAGAGGCATCGTCTTCAGCATTGTCCCTTCTGTCAGAATCCCAACCACTAGACCATTGGGATAAAAGGGCTTGTTTCAGTAGCGGGTCAGTGCGCCCATAACCCCCCAGACGAACGCGCCTGTAACCCTCTCCAGGATCAATCGGGCATCCACAGTGCAGATCTACTGACACCCCCCCACACTGGGAGGCCCAGGACTAAGCACAGCGGCAACGGCCTACATGTGCATACACCGGAAATCGAACCCGAGACCGCTCTGATACCATGTCAGAATCCCAACCACTAGACCATTGGGATAAAAGGGCTTGTTTCAGTAGCGGGTCAGTGCGCCCATAACCCCCCAGACGAACGCGCCTGTAACCCTCTCCAGGATCAATCGGGCATCCACGGTGCAGATCTACTGACACCAGTGTAAGGAGAGGGAGCAGGCGGCGGGCCGTAGGGTGCAACGGCGGGCCGTAGGGTGCAGCGGCGGGCCGGCAGGTGGAGCGGCGGGGCCGTCAGGTGAAGCGGCGGGCCGCTGGGTGCAGCGGCGGGCCGGCAGGTGCAGCGGCGGGCCGGCAGGAGCAGCGGCGGGCCGGCAGGAGCAGCGGCGGGGCCGTCAGGTGAGGCGGCGGGCCGGCCGGAGCAGCGGCGGGCCGTAGGGTGCAGCTGCGGGGCCGTCAGAGGCGGCGGGCCGTAGGGTGCAGCGGCGGGGCCGTCAGAGGCGGCGGCGGGGCCGCGGCAGTAGAGGCGGGGCCGCGTCAGGGGAGGCGGCGGGGCCGCGTCAGGGGAGGCGGCGGGGCCGCGTCAGGGGAGGCGGCGGGGCCGCGTCAAGCAGGCGGCGGGGCCGCGATCAGGAAAGGTGGCGGGGCCGCGTCTGAGGGACAGCGGGGCCGCGAGGGAAAAGGCGACCCAAGGGGTCGCTAAAAAAAAAGGCGCGCCTTGGGGCGCGCTTCGGTGGGCCCTAAAAAAACGGTCCTAAGGCAGGACCCGCTCTATACCATGTGAAGCAAGGAAAACAGGAATGAAATGACTAAGGAAAGATTGGGTACAAATACAACCCTAGAAACCCTGTACCCCATATGTGCTACCCCACTATAGCCTACAGCAACTATGTCATATAAATCTGACACCTTCCACTGTCTACAGCATCATCATCACCCTCCTCAGCAGCGTGATGATGGTCACGCTTCTCTGCTAGTGACCCCCGGAACCCTGTGCCACTCCTCCTCGATACATCCACAGTTGCTGCCTTTCGCTTGGTGGGTCGCCTCTTCCTGGTGCTGCACCACAATGCCACGACTTCGCTCCACACCATGTTGTAGTCTAACAAGCTGAGCATCATGAGGTCGGCCAGCTTCGCGTCATGCAAGCTGGTCCGGATCCAGCTCTTGATCACGTTTTGGCACGAAAATCCGCGCTCGCACTCCACCGTGCTAAGAGGCAACACCGCGACGGCCGCCCACAGCCGCACCAGGTTCGGATAGGTCCGCTGCCAGTCCGATGTTGACAATATCGCCCGCAAGCCAGCATGGAACGGCTGCTCCTCCGTTGGCGCCCCGGACAGCACAGATAGGAAAGTGCGCATCTCCTTCCGCACTTCGCGCTTGTTGACACCTGCTTGGTGGGGTGTTAGAAAAAACCATACACGAGGGTTTTGGGTCATCTCTGGCGGTTACGTGGCGGAGTCTACACTGCAATTTACAATTCACACAAGGGTGCAATTTACACTGCAACGTGAAGTGTGTAAACAGACACGGAAACTCACCAGGAAGGATCTCGTCCCTGTCGCGCGCATGGAACATCACCGCCAGCTTCTCCATGTGTCCCTTGCACTCCGCGTCCCTCGCCTCTTTTCCTCGCGGCCATGACCTTGGCATGAAGAGCTTGGCGGCATTGAGGTTCGACAGGTCGCCAAGCCGAAAGTCGAGGTTGTACAGCAGCTCCGTCGCAAACGAGCGGCACGTCCGAATGCAAGACGGCAGGTCACCGACGCCCTCCGCGTAGCCAGGAATCGGCTCCTCGTGCAGGGTGAACTCATGCTCCCTTGGCACACCGTCGGTGTCCACTCCCTGCACTTTCATGCTCCTGCTGCATGCAGCACCGTGCCGAGCAAGGAACGGCGATAGCAGTGCGCTCGACCCAGCATCGAACTGCTGCCCACAGTCAATGTACCGCTCCCTAATGAAAACCTCGAGGCGCCTCATCTGGGAGTGAACCGCCGTCAAGTCCACCTGTGATTGGGTTGAGGGGCAGGGAGGACAGACGACATAAAAGAACGGTAAGTATCTGTGAAGCAAGGAAAACAGGAATGAGAATGACTAAGGAAAGATTGGGTACAAATACAACCCTAGAAACCCTGTACCCCATATGTGCTACCCCACTATAGCCTACAGCAACTATGTCATATAAATCTGACACACCCCCATAGGCAAAGTGGGGGAGAACAAGGGGTCACAAGACCAGTCAAGCAAAGCAAAGCAAGCTCAGGGTGGATCACAAAGTCACCACACAGACCGAGCACAAGAGCAGGGCCAGAGGCCAGTTCACATGCAGGAGTACAGACATATATATAAAACTAGACAACTCCTGTGCAGCCATGGCTCTGGCGTAGATCTCAGCCTCACAACTGGAGCCAAGAACCGAAGACGAGCGAGTAGACCGCCACGAGACAGAGCCGGAACCAAGGCTGAAGGTGTAACCCTGTGACGACCGCTGCGTAGCCTGGTCGTCAGCCCAAGAAGCGTCCGCGTGGCCGGTAAGGACCACTGGACTCCGCCCTCCAAGCACTAGCCCCATGCCCGACGTGCTGCACAGGTAGCGCAATACCCTCTTCGCTGCAGCCATGTGCTCCGGTCTGTGTCTCCCAGGAGCAACATAGCGAGCAAGAATGCTCAGAGGGTATGCAAGGTCAGGTCGTGTGCAGGTCATCAGGTACATGAGGCAGCCAACAAGCTCTGCATACGGACCACTCGACTCTACGGACTCATCCGAAGGCAGAGCTGAGAGTGAGTGGCGAGTAGGCAGAGGAGTGGCCTGAGGCGAGGAGTACGTGAAGCCGAAGCGCTGAAGGACCTGCTGCACCATGTGTGACTGAGTCAAGGTAATGGTGCGGCGTGCTCTGTCCCGAGTGATCTGCAAGCCAAGGTAGCTGCGCAGTTCACCCAGGTCTGTGCACGTGTGTCTCTTCAGCAGCTCGGACTTCACGTAGGCGAGTCCAGCAGTGTCTGCTGTGGCAAAGACCAAGTCGTCGACGTACACGAGGATGTAGAACGGCGGCAGGGAAGTGTCGGTGCGAAGAAACAGCGACGGGTCAGCAGTAGAAGGAGCAAACCCAAGAGCCGCAAGCGTAGTCCTCAGTGTATCGTGCCACTCACGCGGTGCCTGGCGGAGACCGTAGACTGGCCGTCGGAGGCTCCACTGGGTGCCAGGAGGGAAAGTCCCAGTGAAGCCAGGTGGACGGCGAAGCCAGATCTCCTCGTGCAGGCTACCCTGCAAGAACGTAGTGCTGAAGTCGAGAGAGTGAAGCTCGTAGTCGCGCTGAGCGGCTATGTGCAGCAGCACCCGAAGAGTAGTCATCTTCGGGGTGGGAGAGAAGGTCTGAAAGTAGTCAACTCCCTGCCGCTGACTGAAGCCACGAGCAACGTACCGTGCCTTGAAGACAGGTGGAGAGCCCGGCGGCCGCTTCACCCTGAAGATCCACATGCCACTGACGATGTTCGCCCCAGGAGGGGGAACCGCGTCAACGTAGGTGCCTGTGGACTTCCAGGAAGCCATCTTTGCATCCATAGCTGCCTGCCACTGAGAGGAGTAGGGACCCTCTACGGCCTCCGCGTAAGAACGCGGAGTCGGGATGTCTAGTGCATCCGGGTCTCCCTCAGGGGCAAGCAGTACAGACGCGAGATGAGGTGAAGCAGCCGCTACACACTGTAACTCCTCCTGCCTGTCCTCTAGGACGTCCGTGCCAAGAGCACACTCACCCCCGACGGACAAAGGACAGACAGACGCAGACTCAGCAACAAGAATAGCAGCGTAGTCGAGACGACAGCGAGCAGCAAAGTCGACGAGCTCAGCGACTAGAGCAGACGCAGCAGTGGACTCAAAAGAGGGGTCAGTGACGACAGTAGCAAGCAGACGCGTGACATTAGGACTGGCAGCACGAAGAGAGTCCGACTCAGGGTCGGCAAGCGCAGGAAGAGAGGACTCAGGAGGAGAAGGCAAAGGGGCACGCAAAGGAGCAGTGGACGGACGCAAAGACATCTGGTGCGTGCCAGGGACAGGAGGAGGACGCTGACGCGAACTGCGACCACTAGCGCGAGCAGCACGAACAGGCGACGCGGGACGAGACGCAGGCTCACGACGCTCAGCAAGACCTCCAGTAGGACCAGTGTAAGGAGAGGGAGCAGGCAGTGGAGAGGAAGGCTCCAGCAGGGACTGCGACTGGACAGGCGGTGGACCCTCTACTGGAGGAGAAAGACCAAGAACCTACTGCAGGAGCGGAACGAAGTACGGCCGAGGCCGCGCGGCAGCTCCAGACTCAGCAGGGACAGCACCAGCACCCTCAGCGACAGCACCAGCGCCACCCACACCTCCAGCGGCAGGACCAACAGCAGTAGGCTCAGCACCAACGCCCTCAGCAGCTCCAGCTCCAGGGGGACCCGCAGGTCCAGCAGCTCCGGGACCGGCAGCACCCGCACCCACGACGGTCGAAGAAGCCCCAGCTCCAGCTCCAGCAGCACCTCCAGACTCAGCGGCACGCCTCCAGCGGCGAGCGAACCACTCACACAACTCCTGTAGAGAGAGGGGCTCCCGGCGAGACGCAGCAGCAGGAGAAACCCCAGGCTCAGCAGCTCCAGACGCAGCACCCCCAGGCTCAGCAGCTCCCAGCTCAGCACCCCCAGGTGCAGCAGCTCCCGACCCAGCACCCCCAGACCCAGCACCTCCAGGCACAGCACCCCCCGGCTCAGCACCCCCAGGCTCCGCACCCTCCGCAGTAGCACCCTCAGGCCCAGCACCCCCAGCAGTAGTACCCCCAGGCTCAGCACCCCCGCGTACAGCACCCCCAGAGTCAGCACCCCCAGGCTCAGCACCCGCAGCAGCACCAGAGTCACCAGTAACCTCGACCGGGTCAACTGCGTCTACCTGGGACACACCTGAGGGGGCAGGAACCTGAGGGGGGAGGGGGTCTACTGGGGGGGGAACCGGCACAAGGAAGTCCGGGGGAGGGGGGAGGGAAGGAGTGCGGTAGGGGAAGAGACGGTAGAAGGGGACTGACTCGTCGAACGTGACGTCCTGGGAGGACAGAACACGACGAGAGGAGGGGTGGTAAAACTGCCACCCTGGGGCGTCAGTGGGGAAGCCAAGGAAGACACAGGGAGCAGCACGAGGGGACAGCTTGTCCGCAGACAAGTCGCGGACAAACGCCCGAGATCCCCAGACACGGAACACAGACGCATCGCCAACCTTCCCCGTCCACAGCAAGGCTGGGGACATCGCAGGTCGAGAGACCCGGGGGTGAAGGTTGAGCTGATGCGCCGCGTACCTCACCGCAAACGGCCACAGAAAATGGGGGGCAGCCGCATGCATCATGGACGTACGAGCGACATCCATGACCATGCCAATGCGGCGCTCAGCAATCCCATTTTGCTGTGGTGAGTCCGGAAGCGTGAAGGTCTGGCGGATCCCCCGTGCACGACAGTAGTCCCGCAGAAGGCGAGAAGAGAACTCTCCGCCTCGGTCAGAGTGCAGACGCAGAACAGGAAAGTCCGAGCCGAAGCTCTTTCTGAGCTGGAGACGAGCCTCGCGGATCCAGACGATCAGCACCTCAGTGACCTCACCCTTGCTGCGCAAGGGGAGGACTGTGGTGTAACGCGAGTAGTCGTCAACCACCAACAGGAAGTAGCGCTCGTAACCCTGCCCACGGACGGGGGCTGGGCCCCACACATCCATGTGAAGCGTATGCAGGGGAGCCTCTGTCGAGGGGAAGTGGGAGGAGTGAGGAGTAGCCCGGAGGCGACCCTCGACACAGGGGACACAGGAAGGTCCTGGCCCGGAGGGGAGAGGAGGGAGAGACTGGGGAAGACCAGAGACAAGGACACGGGAAGCCATGCTCCGAAGACGGGGCAAGGAGGGGTGGCCAAGACGGTGGTGCCACAGGAGAGTCTCGTGAGACAGGAGGCGACAAGAACAGGGGGCAGACTCAGGACCTGACCGGGACGCAGCAGCAAGCACCTGACCCGACGCAGCCACCTGACCAGACGCAGGGACAGGAGGAGACTCAACTGTCAGGGTGTAGAGACTCGACCCCGGCCGACGCGAGAACGTGGCCAGGTGTCGGCCTGTGCGTGCCTCCGTGCAGTGGGTCACCCGCTGACTCGCAGGAGTGAACTGGTGAACCCCCACATCCTGCAGGTCCGCTCCACTCACCAAGTTCGTAGAGAACGAGGGAAGGTACAGACCCGACAGGGTGCCCGAAGGGGCAGCCGGACACGGGAGGACAGTGGAGAAGTGAGACAGGACAGGACCCCCAGAGGGGTCAGCAAGGGAGACCGCAACCGGCCGGCCGAGCGGCGTAAGGGTAGTGCGGTCTCGAAAGAAGGAGCGAGAAGCTCCGGAGTCAAGCGTGAAAGTGAGGGAGGACGAGGACGACGCAGTACCTGAGAGCGCAGTCTCACCAGTACCTGAGAGCACAGACGCACTGGCACCTAGAGCAGCAGCCTCACAAGCACCTAGCGCAGCAGTACCAATGCCCGGGTCGGGCTGGAAACACCGGTAACCCTCATTCTCCTCACTATAATCCACAACATACATAGCAGCAAGGATAGCATCAAAATCAAGATCAAAGATCGCTACACCAGCCCTGAGGAGCTCATCCCAGCGAGGGATCTCACTAGCCCCAGGGAACTGCTGACGCCAAGCGTCCGTCAGGCGGCCAAAGCAGCGCTGGGTGGCGTGGGCACCCCCACACTGCTCACCCGCGCGGTCGCCGGAACGAAGAACGTAGGTGCAGGGACCAGTACCCCCACCCCTCTGACGCCCAGCGTACCACTCACGAAGCTGCTGAGGCGGAGGGATGTCCCGCGAGCGCTGCTGCTGCTGCCGCTGCGAGCGCTGGCCACCACCACCGCCGCTACGCTGCTGGGTACCACCTCGACCAGCTCCACCTCCTCCACCACCACCGCCTCCTCCGCTGCCGCCTCCACCGCCTCCACCTCCGCCGCCTCCACCACCGCCGCTGCCTCCACCACCACCGCTGGCACCACCAGCACCGTCTCCGCCACTGCTGCCACCACCACCACCACCCCCGCCACTAGTCTCGCCGCCACCCCCACTCCCTCCGCCGCCACCGCCGCCACCGCCACCGCCCCCTCCAGCTCCACCCGCGCCCTTGCCCCCCTTGCCCTTGCTGGAGCGACGTCTCCCACTAGGGGCAGACGCCGCGCCGACCGACTCAAGACCAAGCAGGTCGGCAGCAGTAGCAGAGGCAACAGAGGGCAGCAAGGGGGAAGGAGAGCACCCCTCAAAGATGGGGGTGCGAGGGTCACCACGAGAAGCACCTACAGCGACTATGCTCTTCTCCGCTGCGAGGAGGGCCTTCTCGAGGAGGTCGACGGTGAGGGTGGTGGGACAGACTGCGAGAAAGTGGTCCCTGACGACGCGAAGGGAGTCAGGGAGGCGCGCGACTACGTAGTAGAGAGCGATGTACATGGGGGGGGGGGTTCTTAGCGCAGAACTCAGCAGGAAGGGCGGCGCGGTAGCGAGTGTCACTAGTGCGGAGGTGAGTAATGAGGTCAGCGACAGTGGGAAAGGCAGAGAGGTCAGGAAAGAGGTAGGGAAGCATGAGACGGCTCAGTGCAGCAGTGGCAGGGGAGGAGTAGCGCGCAACTACAGCGTCGTACAAGGTCTGCGCACTCTTGTACTGACTAAAGTGCGCACGCTCAGAGGTAGGGAGGTGGCGACGCACAGCAAGACGTGCAGCAGCATCGCGGGTGGCCCACTTAGAGCGGACAGTGGGATCAGCATCAGCAGCAGGAGCAGGAGAGGCGCCAGAGGTGAGGTCAAAGAGAGAAAGGTCGTCAGCCCTGTCGCACTGTAAGAACAGCTGCAGGTCGTCTAACCAGACCTCAAAATCAATGGCGCGACCCTCAGCGTCAAAAGCTAGGACACTAGGGGTAGCCATGGCGACGACAGCGACGCAGTGCAAGCAGTAGGGAAAGAGCTCGCAGTGTCAGTGGGACTGTGCTCACCAGGCAGGGCAGGTCGAGCAGCTCTGCAGAAAGGCGGCTCAGCGACCGGGCGGCTCGGGTGCACAGCGGCTCGATGGCTGGGCGGCTGGGGCGCAGGGCGGCTCGGCTCCCGGACGGCTCGGCGGCTGGGCGGCTCGGGTGCAGGGCGGCTCGGCTCCCGGGCGGCTCGGCGGCAGGGCGGCTCGGGTCCCGGGCGGTTCGGCTGCGGGGGCGGCTCGGCCGGGAGATGCAGGGGCGGAGCCGTCAGGTGCAACGGCGGGTCGACCGGTGCAGTGGCGGGCCGGCAGGTGCAGTGGCGGGCCGGCAGGTGCAGTGGCGGGCCGGCAGGTGCAGCGGCGGGCCGGCAGGTGCAGGCGGCGGGCCGTAGGGTGCAGCGGCGGGCCGTAGGGTGAAGCGGCGGGCCGGCAGGTGCAGCGGCGGGGCCGTCAGGTGAAGCGGCGGGCCGCTGGGTGCAGCGGCGGGCCGGCAGGTGCAGCGGCGGGCCGGTAGGAGCAGCGGCGGGCCGGCAGGAGCAGCGGCGGGGCCGTCAGGTGAGGCGGCGGGCCGGCAGGAGCAGCGGCGGGCCGTAGGGTGCAGCGGCGGGGCCGTCAGAGGCGGCGGGCCGTAGGGTGCAGCGGCGGGCCGTAGGGTGCAGCGGCGGGGCCGGCAGAGGCGGCGGCGGGGCCGCGGCAGTAGAGGCGGGGCCGCGTCAGGGGAGGCGGCGGGGCCGCGTCAGGGGAGGCGGCGGGGCCGCGTCAGGGGAGGCGGCGGGGCCGCGTCAGGGGAGGCGGCGGGGCCGCGTCAAGCAGGCGGCGGGGCCGCGATCAGGAGAGGTGGCGGGGCCGCGTCTGAGGGACAGCGGGGCCGCGAGGGAAAAGGCGACCCGAGGGGTCGCTAAAAAAAGGCGCGCCTCGGGGCGCGCTTCGGTGGGCCCTAAAAAAAAACGGTCCTAAGGCAGGACCCGCTCTATACCATGTGAAGCAAGGAAAACAGGAATGAGAATGACTAAGGAAAGATTGGGTACAAATACAACCCTAGAAACCCTGTACCCCATATGTGCTACCCCACTATAGCCTACAGCAACTATGTCATATAAATCTGACAGTATCAGTTCGTTTGAGACCTCGCTTTTGCAAAATGTGTGGCAAATACCTCGCGCCGTTGGAAGAGAAGGTTGAGCATGTTCAGCTCGACGTGTACATCCGCCAGGAAGTACACGTAAAAGTGAAACTTCAGGCTGGTGACCATTTGGTAACAGGTTTTATCCAGCTGCTCGAGGAGGACCACCACCGCCGGAAGCACCTTCACGAACCGCGCAATCGCGTCACCACGGCTTAACCAGCGGACGGCGTGGATGCCTTGCAGCTCCAGGTTTGTCCGGGTCAAGACTGACTGGATCTCCTTGAATGTTGCATGCAAGGTCGAGCTGCGTCCGAGCTGCTCCGCCAAAGCACGGATGAGGACGTCAACCATCTGGAGCTCCGGGAGGGCCTCAGCAGAGTCCTTTGCGGGAAGTGCCTCCCTGCCAGGCACAAAGCAACAAGGGCGTCAGACAGTCCGAACGCATTAATAAAACAAGCTATGTAAAATTCCCACCTGTGTGCGATACAGTGGCACGAAACCAGGTGCGGGATGCAGAGTCGAAGCCGCCCAGTGAGACCGTTGGTGCCGCCGAGCATGACTGGAGCGCCGTCGGTGCTGATCCCTGCGATCTTGCCTAGGGGCACGTTGATGCTGTCGAGGTAGCCGACGAGCACTGCATACAGTGATCCTGCGTCACATTTCTCCACGGTCAAGAGCGTCAGAAATTCCGTGGTCACCTCGTGTTCTCTCAAAAACGTGACGAAGACAATCATGTGCTTCCCCCGCACGCGGTCGGTGCTCTCATCACAGCTCAAGCCAATGAAGGGGCTTGAGTCTATGAACTCGCGTTGCTTCGCACGAAGATAAGTCGCTGTAGCTGATACCAGTTCTTGAAACCCGTACCTGCGCAGACACAGTTAGGAAACCCGTACGTTACGGCAACCAAGTTGTCACTTTAAAAATCAGAGGCATCACTTACGTTGTATAATAAGCGCCGTAGCCGTTCTTCGGGAATCCTGGCGTACCGCGGGAAGCAAGGTGCCGTACGAGTTGCACCCACATCTCGATGGGTGCGTCGGTCCTTGCAATAAACAACAGCGTGTCCAGCAGCGACTGCACAGCATCATGCTCGAGGTCACGCGCCGTCGGGCAGTCGGGGATGCGATGCTGCCCGGTTGCGTTCGCCAACGCCAGCTCCTGGTTGCGAATAGCGTCCTTGTGCTTCGTTGTTCGCTGATGTCGCTGCATGGCTTGCGTCTGCACATCCAGTGCCCCCTCGCCTTTCCCGAAGTTCGTTCCTGTGCCTGCATACTCCATACACACGGTGCACTTCATAGAAGGGAAACCATACTTGGTTTGACAAATGATAAGCCACGGGAAGTCTTCGTTCCACCTCCTCTTGAACAGGAGCAGAGCTTCCTGGTACTTCTCCTCAGCGATGTCGGGTATTTCGGTGTCAGAGGAAGCAGTGGGGGCGGTTTCAATAAGAATAGTGGGTTCCGGATCTTGCCTGGAGACGGACAGCACCGTCGTGTTGTCTGATGCACGGACGAAGGACAACTTCGTCTGGTGGTATCGCTGCGCGGAGACCTTCTTGCTCGGAGGTCCCTTCCGGGTTGTCCCAGCGGCCTTCGAGCACTCCCACTGCGTACGAATCGGCGGAGGCAAAGGCTCGTTATCAACCACGACCGGTGCTGCTGACGAGGGAGAAGGCACGGGCGGCTGAGACGGCGAAGGGATGGTTGCAGCAGCGACAGCGGCAACATCTACCGTGGGTGGTGGCGGCGGCTGAACGGGCCTGGTGCGCAAGAAATCGAGGCCTGTCAACCCTACTGGGCCGACCGTTGGGTCAGGCATGGCGGGTGCTTCACCATCGCCCGCCGCCGATGGGTCAGCCATGGGCGAACAGCAGTGGTCGATTGTGCTCTGAGACAAACCTACGACGAGCTAGCAAAATCACGGGGGAAACAAAGATTCTTGGGAGTGAGCCAGGGGTTTGGTAGGCACTCAACACCAAGATGGAGAGGAAGGAGCGCTCGAGGGAATCAGAAAGATTCCTGCCTGAACCTTGCCATCCAAACCAACCCCGCGTGAACCTACAGTTGGTTTGTGTAAAGATGGCCTCATCGTGTAAAGTGAGCGCGGCGCACTCTCATTGGTCGATATTACAGCAATGCAGGTTGCCACGGTTGGCGCGGCGTGGTTTCCAGCAGAGGCATCAAAGTCAGGGCGTCAATTACGGCGAAAAAAGTAACGCAGTACCTGGTCGGTGGTTGGGTACACTCGGCCCCGGGCGAAATTGGCGCAGATTCAGGACGACTCTCAACACTACACTGAACCATCAGGGCTGAACCTACATGTCTATACTGAAATTCCAGCACGCAACTTAACACCTATACTGAAATTCCAGGACAACTTTTTCACTCATGCTGTTTTTCCAGGACTGGGACCCCACAGCTATACTGAATTCAGGAGAATCAGGATAAATTATCCTGATATCTGAGGCCCTGCTCCAGATAGAAGCGCCGGCGCTTTTAATAGGACGGCGCTACTATCCGGGGTGATACGGTAAAGGTGCACAATGCACATTGCATCACCCTGACCCTGTCGTTCGGTGTCGCAAACAAATCAATAAAGGCTCATGGGTCATGTAACCACTCCATACAGCTTTGCACAAGCAACCATTCCATTCCGCGACCACTTTCATTAAGATCTTGGTGCGTGTTCCATAGAATAATCTGCTGGTTAACAATGGTCCTGTTTCTTTTCTACTCTCCAAATGCCTCTCTCCACTCTCCTTCCCAACAGTTACACTCCTCAAGAGTCCCTCCCCCCCATGCCCCCCCTTTCCACTATCTCCCTTCCTTACCCCTTCCCATTCCACCCTTTCCCTTTCCTTTCCACTCCCCGTCTCCCTTTTCTTCCCACTCCTTCCCTTACCGCTCCTTCCCACTACCCCCCTCCTTCTCTTTCCCACTCGCCCCCTTCTTAAACGAAGCCCACAAAGGCTTGAGCCCAGCACTCCACTTCTCATCCCCTCTCACACCCCCACCCCCCCCAGCAGTTAAAGCCGAAATTCGGGCGGCAGTGGCCGGCCGCATCCCCCCTGTCGTTTTCTCCTGCACAGTCGGACTCCTAAACACACTTAAAGCCCCCTTGAGCATCGGAGACATCTGCCCTGATTTCAGCCGCATGCGCATCGTGCCCCACTCCCGAGCCTGATGCCGAGCCTGCGCCCGGACGTACTCCTTCCCGCCCGAACCTGCAGGTCCGGTGAGGGCGGTCCGGTCGAATTCCTCATCCTCCTCTATATCCTCTGCTGGTGATTGCAGTGGAAAGAGGTTATCAAACTCGGATCTCTGGCTCTTGATCCGATTGGCTGCCTCTTCAAACGGGTTGCTGCTGCTCCCAACACTGCCAATGCCACCGCTGCTGCTGCCACCAGTACTCGCATTGAAACTGGTACTGAACAAGAAATTGCCTACACTATGCCCAATCTCACCCCCAGCAGCAACAGGGGAAAAGCCTGCAGGCGAAAGGCCTGCTGGTGAAAACCCTGCAGGCGAAAACCCTGTAGGAGGAAACCCAGCAGCACCACCAGGGGGGTAAAACCCTTCGTTGCCACGTGCACCCACCCCTGCTGTCCCTGCTTCCCCACCGCTCCTTCCAAAACCGCTACCCTCAAAACCGCTGTTCCCAAAACCGCAATTTGTAAAGCCGCTGCTGTTCGGAATGCTGCTGCCATCTAGGGCGGTAGTGTCAAGCGCGCCAAGCGCTCCCTCACTTCCTCCCATGCGCCTGTGCCCTTCGCCTAGCTTCCGCCCCCCGCCTGCTCCCTGCCTCCCTGCTGCCACGTGCCCTGGCAGGTTGG